CTAAGTGATATCAGAAATCTCCCTGCGATCGGACTGCAAGAAGGGAAATTCTTTGACCGCACGCAAGGAACTAAAGCTTACAATGCTTCATTCGCGTAATCCAAAGTTCCTCTGGCGAATCATCTAACTTTACTGAACGAAACTGCTATCACACATCTTTCGCGAAAAAGTGTAATCCTTTGGCGTCTTCTTTCGCGAAACTTTTGCGAGCCCTTTAAACCAGCTGAAATGGTCGCCCAAGTATAAACCGAAGACAAGGACCTTTAGAACAACCCTCATTTCTACTCATAACAGCTAGCACAAATCATGTCTCTTCGTCAACAACAGGAGCATGTTTGTTTGATCGAGGGTTGCCAAAATTTTGGTCTGTTCTTGCAGTACACTAAATCTTAGGTCCGCAGTATACGCAGGTCCCATGACCGGCCTATTCCGACAAGACTGCATGGTGCGAAGAACCTTGTTACCCAGATCTCAGCACACCTTCAAGTTTGAATAGGTTTGACTACACCTTTTCGGACAAACTTAGAAACATGTAGAGACATTGATGAGGCGATTTCCTGTTGTATGTCCCGAACTCTGGTGATTGAGCCTTTTGGAAAACCTGTGAGGTTGGATTTGGAATGAGCTCCAAACCTTTTGCTTCATGATGTAACATACTTGAGTGCACCCTACATCCCGAAACCCACCCCCTGAATGCTGATCCTCAACTGGAACCGGAACCCCAGTTACGTAAAGCTCAGTGGGTTATACAGTTATACCCGGCAATGAAGCTTAAGACTACGAGGCTATAGGCAGCCAAGAAAAGGATACCTAGCAATGAGGCTCTGCAGGCAGCCTTTAGCAAAGCTGGGCGGTGCTCTAGTCACGACAGCGGTGATCTTTCCGAGTAGCCTGGGCCATCGCTGGCTGCAAGGTCTTGTGGTTTCTGGGCCTCTGTGCCAGACAAGAGATACTGATATGCAAACAAGGCCGTGATGATTTTTCATGGGGTTGGCATGCCTTCAAAGCCTGTCAGGAAAGTGTAAGGTAAACACACAGTTAGGGAGTGCCCAGAATTGTTCCGTGGTCAGTTTTGCTGACCAGCTTCACGGCCATCAAGATGCATACTCACAAGCGCTAAGCGGCTAAGCCATCCAGCTCGCAGCACCATACACGCTCCTACAAACACCGGCACATACACGGGCACATGCACATCGAGCATGTTCGCGCTAATTCATGCATGCTGCATACACACGTACACACGTACCTACGTACGTACACACACAAACGCAAACACACGCGCATACACTGGTCGAAAAAGCAGTCCCAAGCAAACGTGTACAGAATTATGTGTATATATATATAGATACACATGCATAGGCATCTAATAAGTGCGACCCTTCTCCCGTGTAGAGAGAGAAAGAGAGAGAGAGAGAGAGAGAGAGAGAGAGAGCGAGAGGGAGAGGGAGAGGGAGAGGGAGAGGGAGAGAGAGAGTGTGTGTGTGTGATAGACGACAAACCAACAAGGCCTTCAATCTTAAGCATGTCCAACATGTCCAACGAATCCCCGACAGCCTGTACAACTCAAGCTTCAACTGCGGCCCAGGAGCACTCCCAAGCCTACAATGATGAAAGGGAGGAGGATCAGTATCCAGCTGCCACGCAGGATGTCCCAAAAAGGGCTACAATGCATCTGGGCCAGAGAGAAGAGGCTGCTCACAATTGTGGTTTGCGGATTAAGGCCCCTAAGTGAGGATTCAGAGGAGAGGGTTCAGGATTTAAAGCTACCCGAAAGGACTCCCTAGCAAGGTGTCCGTTCTGAGGCGTGCCGAAAGACTTTCAAGTATTGAGCCTTGCCGGATCTTGCCGGCGTTCAAACTCAACCGGACTTTTGTGTGTCAGGTTGTCAGACTGTAGTTTCCTGTCTGAGAAGAAGTTAGGTTGGGCGCATGACGAGATACAGTAGTGCCTCCTCAAAAGCATACAGCCTTGGGGGAGTAAGGCTTAAGGCACTTGGCACTTAGGGCTTTAACCACCGATTAACGCTGAAAATAGTACTTCGCATCGCAGCTTGCACCTGAGTGGTCATAGAGAGGACAGGGGTCACTGGCGTAAGCATTGCACCTTCTGATGCTTAAGCATCTATACCGGGAATCTGGATGACCCGCCTTTTCCGGAAGAGCCTGGGGCCTGAACAGTTTCCGGGAAAGACTTCAACTGCCAATCCAACCCTGAATCCATCTGTCGACGCCGTCGAGGAGCACACTCGTGCAAGTGCTGGTTGCACTGGTCGCAGTAAATGATCCGGGTAAACAGCAGAGCAGGAATCCTGGATGACTGTCATGTAGGGTGCAGGGGCTTAGGGCTCAGGGATTTGGAGCTTAGATCGGCTTAGGGGAGCTCCTGTTTTTAGTCGGATCTATACTGTCATCAGGGAGATTATGGCTCCAGGAATCTAGAAGTTCTCTTTTAGGGATCTGAGCTGCTGTGGTAGAGAGGCACAGGCGGTCTCCCAATGTAAGGCCCTGCAACTAAGGTCAACTTGGGTAACCCAACTGATAAAAAAAGTTATGAGAAGCTATCTTATTGAGCCCTACAAACAAAAATCCTTCATAATCAGCCCGATGATGTAGCAAATTCTTTCCATACGTTGAGATGTGGTAGGTGCGAAGCTTCAATTCTAGATTGCCATGCTTTACTTCCTGGGAAGCATTCCGACCAACAATCCAAAGCCATACCTCATTTTCTGGGAAGCATACCGACCAATAAGCCGAACCTTGACGTTGAATTCAAGAGCTGGCATCAGGATCTTCATCGAAATGTCCGCCATGGACTTCTGTGCTTGCGGTGAAATGATGCCAAAACGCGCTCCAGCGAATCCGGTGGCCATGGCGGTCACCGAAACCCCTATAGCCCGGAGGGCTGCAATCAGCACCGCGACGAATGCGGCCATGGCAGACAGGGTCAGATGCAAGCGACCAGGTAAGGTTCTCTCTGCAGCAAGGGACTTAAATCATTCAACTGTTGAAATTCCAATTTCCGAACTTGGTATGCTGCAACTTGTCTGCTTGATTCTAGATCCGAACCGTTACCCCTTCTCTCTGCAAGAATCGCCGCAAGTTGCGGCGAACTTGAGCTTAAAACCGCGTCCTGTCTGTTTGTCGAACAACGCCTAACTACATTAGACACATGGTTAGGAAAGCACTATATGCAGATTTAGACTCTTGCAAGGAACCCTGCTACACCTCAGCACCTGCCTCCTGCAGACCCTGTCAGCGACACACAAGGCCAGATGCCAGAGATGATAAATGGCGTCTTTGCAACGACTGTTCGCGCTTTGACATTGATTTTCCAGAGAATACCAGAAGACAGCACCACACCAGCAATTTCCATAGAACAGCGCCCGAGAAGCTCAAGACAAATATGTCTATTGGAGCGCTATTAGTGATGATATTCTTTCTGTGACGCTATGCTGCTTATCATACTGTAAGATGGCGTCAGCGGAGAGATCTATACATATAACAGGGTTTTGCTGGGAAAGAAGGAGCTTCCATTAGCCAAGCCCACCCAACCCCCCCT